AGCAACCCGGCCCCCAGCTCAAAAAGGTTGCCTACCCCTGGTTTAATTGAATGCAGATTACTTTTACACTTTGTACTCAGTTTGCACCAATAGAAGTAAATCAGGGAGAAAGGAGGCAAATGAAAGGATGAGAGAGAAACTGTGATAGTTTAAAAGCAGCTGAAAAACTGGGATGACAGAGGCTTAACTGGGACTGTGCGTGTCAAATTGGGACAGTTGGGCGGGGGTATGTCTTCACTTGGAACAGTTGCTTGCTTGAAGCCAGGGGTAGGCAACCTTTCCCCTTTAAGGGCCGAGGGACTTCAGCTCCCAGAATCCCAGGAGCTATTGGCCAAGATGGAACTATTGGCCAACATGGCTGAGGCTTCTGGGAGCTGAAGTCCCTCGGCCCTTAAAGGGGAAAGGTTGCCTACCCCTGCTTGAAGCAATCACTTGTTCAATGTTGTTTTGCTGTGGCTGTGTGCCTTCAAGTCATTTCCAACGTATGGTCACCCTAAGACCCTATCATGGGATTTTTTTGGCAATTTTCTTTAGAAGGGGTTTACCATTGCCATCCCCTGAGGCTGAGAGAGTGTGACTTGCCCAAAGTCACCTAGTGGGTTTCCATGGCTGAGCCAGGATTTGAACCCTGGTCTCCCGAGTGATAGTCCCAAGCTCTAACCACTACACAACATGCCCTGTACAAATTGTTTGTTTGTTTTTACTCCACTAAAATTAAGTGGATGGAGGCTGCTTTTAGACCATCTGTCTTTCATAGTTCATCACAACCAGGAAAGAACCCTTTCTTGAGTATTTCCCTGCAACAAGTGTATACCATATGGTCATGTAGGTAAAGAGATGTTCTTAGAAACCAGGTTTAATCGTGGACATTTTCAAACACCTTTTTAAGGCTTCCTTGTTTCAGTTTGCTTTTCATGGTCAAGCTGTTAAGAGTGCATGCACTAATATTAAAGCGGTAGGATCTCTTAGTATTTTAATGGATATTTAGAAGACCAAGTCACAACTGCATTGCTATAGGAAATCCTTAAAATAGTCTTCTTTCTCATTCTTTTTCCCCAAAAGATATTGATTCCCCAACCTCATTCCTAAACAGTCTTTAATCCATTATAGCAAACAATGTAACATCTGTATTTTATGGTTATTTTTCCAAAGTAAAAACAAAATCAAAGTAGAGGAACATCAGAAGACTTCCAAGAGTGGGAACTGAGGACAAATCCAAAGGCCATTTTAAAACTGGCCCAATTTATTAAGACAAGGTAATGAGTGTTCCTTCTTGGAAATCATTTCAGTTTCTCTGAGGAAGAAACTTTTATTCAAAAGCATATAGGGCCATAATAAGGCATACTGTGTTTTGTGAAACCCTGAATTTTCTCCTATTTTCTCATGGTTTTTCAAACTACCACATTCTGATTCCAACTTTCATTAATATATAAAATGCCTGTGATCAAGGTAAAAAACAAACAAACCCCAAACCAATGCCTTCAGCTAAATGGCACACTGGACTTTCTGTCATAAGTCCCGAATATATAAAGCAGGCTGAGAAGCAATGTTTAAAGTTCAGCCCTTTGCTGGCATTAAAAGAAATATTAGAAAAGGCCAAATATTTCTAGCTATATCAGTATGGCAGTATCTGTGGCACACACATATGTTGTGTGCGTGCATGTGTTTTAAGTATCCAGAGAGAAATGTTTACTTTAGCTGAAGGTGAATTTACAGTCAGCATTTTTATGGATCAAATATCATCTGAAAAGAACAGTGGGGGGAAAGGTTATTTTAAGGATTTTCTATTTAAACTCAATAAAATATTTATGCAGGCAAGCTTCTGCACTGAACATAGAGGGAAGTATTCACAGAGGGCTGCTGTGTCTGTTTCTCTAATTTACACCATAATACAGCAGGTAAAGGGATGACTTGTAGACCAGGAGCTGTCACCCTCTCTCCACTTATGCTTTTAGATCCAATTCCCCACTTAATGTGAATGAGCTTGCCTCTTGTCCACCAAAGAGCACCTCCACTCAGTAAATAGGGCACACTATGTGCACAGTCACTGGAAATCACTATGTCTTTCCAGCAAGAGTAACAAATTCATTTCTTTTTTAGAGGTTCTCCTAATAATAATTATAATGATAATAACTTAAAGGCCTTTGAGGTTGTTGTTTTTTGGTCAGAGGAAGAGAGACAGAGACTTGCCTCCAGAATAAGGTAGCATCCAAGAGCTCTCTGTAGAGTTAGAAACCCAGTTGATTGAGCTTGCTGACAGAGTCTGATGGAAAGACCAAGAGAACAGGGGCCCTTGACGTGGGTCTTTACCAGGGGACTTTTTCGGGGAGAAGCCCACAGTACTGTTTCAGTGCTTACTTAAGATTTCTCAACACTGAGGGAGTTGCTGCAGTCACCTGCAACACTTGTGGAATGTTTGTCTTCTTGCCAAGAGATGTGGGAACTTCACCTGCACCAAGTGCAAGTTCGTAGCCCTCCTGGAAGAGAAAGTCAAGCAGTTGGAGACCTGGGTAGCTACACTTCAGCACATTAGGGAGCAAGAGGTTTTCCTGGACAGAGCGGAATTAATGGTCTTGGATGGGGACCACACAGAGGAAGTTGTTGAGGAGGAGGTCATTTCATGCACACAGGAGATGGACACCTGGAGGAACATCACACATTGAAATAGGGAAACCAGGGATCATTCTGGGAGTTTGCAGCTACAGAATCAATTGGAAGCTCTCTTCCTTATCAAGGATGAAGAGGAAGGGCAGCAGGGATAGTCCTCAGGGACAGTGCAGGGGACCCTAAGAGTACCACTGCAGGGAACAGCCACTGCTAAGCCTCGGAGGAGGTGTGTGGTGGTGGTTGGGGACTCCTTGTTGAGGGGTACAGAAGCAATGGTTTGTGGACCAGACAAAATGTCCTGGGAGGTGTGTTGTCTCCCTGGGGCAAAAATCCATGATGTGACAGCGAAGCTGACAAGACTTGTCAAGCCTTCTGACCATTACCCCTTCCTCTTGGTCCATGTAGGAAACAATGATACTGCAAGGCACAGTCTTCAGAATATCAGAAGGGATTAAGAGGTTTTGGGTAGGAAGCTGAAAGAGCTGGACACACAAGTTGTTATCTCATCTCTTCTCCCAGTTGAAGGGCATGGTCCAGGAAGGGAGAGGAAGATAGCAGACATGAATAACTGGCTCCATAGATGGTGTCGCCAAGAACGATTTGGATTCTTAGATCACGGGCTATGGTTCCATGAGGGTGGACTTCTAGCAAGAGATGGGCTGAATCTCACACCAGATGGAAGAAGCATTTTTGCCAATAGTCTCAAACATTTGATCAGAAAGGCTTTAAACTGAGTCATGTTGGGGAGGGAGACAGTATCTTGGAAGGTATCTTGGAAGGCAGGAGCACATCATGGGCTGGAAATAATAGTCTAAGTGTTATAGAGGAAACAAGGCAAATGATGCAAGGGTCCAACAGTGGAAG